CATTATTAAAGATATACGCGGTCAGAAAACAAGCCGCGATTACGCTTTCAATCGCTCTAGGGAAACGTGAATTTGGTTCTCCTCTCTTTTGGTGGTCCAGCAGCGCCCGCTCCAAGTGCTCCAGATCGTTGACATGCTGCGTATTCGGTAGCATATCTTTGATAGCCTTGCGACTGCTCTCTTGGCGAAATCCGAATGGAATTGAGCGAATAGCGGAGTGGGGATTTCTTTGCCCTGCTGCCGAAATTCCACAATAAGAGCTTTAATTGCTACGTCGAGCATGGTGCTGTAGTCCGTAGCCTCCTCTTCCATTGATAAAATGAAGATCAGAGGCACGAAGTGCTTGCGGTAACGGCGGGCGTCTGGCGTATAACGATAAATTAGAACACCCAGCGCGCCCAATTTGTATCCCTGCCACACAATCTTCGACGCAAAATCTGACATCGCAATATACCCAGTGGCAGCACTGATTTCTTTGACAGCGTAGTTGACAAAATGCCGCATTGTGCATGGTATGTTTACGTACTGTGGTGAAATGCTTGGGTCCCATCGGCAGTTTTGAATACAATCAAACTCAATCTGTTTGCTGGTGGCGTGGGTTCCGAATCGATTAAGAAAAAACGCTCTGCGCACCAAGCCTGCAATCCTTCCACTTTGAACGATTTTTTGCTTCCATCTCGGTTCCGGCGTTTGTGCACAGCTCTTTGAACGGCGTCTCCTGGCGCAGCACTAGACATGCGATCGTGAACCGCCTCAGGCGTGATTCGCGGTCCGTATTGTGCCATAATCTTATCGATCTCCTGCAGCTGCTCTTTCGTGATGGATGGTACGTCGTCTCTCGGATTCTGTGGAGTGCGCGCTGGTCGGTGTCCCCCAGCATGCTCTACAGCATTCTTTAAAACGTGGTAAGTATCATCGCCAATTGGTATAAGATGGTACTTCACTTTGCATTTTGCTTCCGCTGGACATTTCCCACAAACTGCATAGAACTTGTCATTGCATGGTCCATCGATGCGTTTGAAACTCGTGTCATTGTTTTTGGCCGACCTTTTCCAAGCGTTCCTTTGTAATCCTTCTGTAGCTGTGATTCGGCTATCTGGAATGACCTCAAATCTTTTTTTTCATAGCCCCAAAATCGCGTAGCGGTTTGTAGGCTTCTTGGCTTCTGTGTCTCTGGGCTTCCTTCCTTCTCACAGCCTTGGCACCGCTGTGGTGCAGCGGAGTGGTGTCTCACAGCCTTTCGCTGCAGCGCAGCAGGCGGACGCTCACGGCCGTGCGCTGCATTGCATCAGGTGGTTCTCACGGCCGCGCGCTGCGTAGCAGCAGGCGGTTCCTCCTCCTTCTCCTGCCGTTGGTTGGTTGGTTGGTTGATTGGCGTGCCTTGGGCCGCGCTCCGCTGTTCCTGGGCTGGCAAGTGGCGGCGGCGTCGCAGTGAAGGCTGCACGGGGGCCGGCGCCCACCGTCGTTCCCAGGCCGTGCGGTGCAAGCGCGCCCATTGGGCTCGCGTCCCACCCATTCCCGCCCTTGTGGCTACGCGTTTGTTGGGCGGCGCCTTGGTCAGGTTGGGGCCCTGGTGGATGTCCAGTCTGGGCCAACCTGGCGGCGCCAAACATTTCCGCTCGCCAATTGTTAGCGCGGAGGCGACGCCCAACTTCACGGTCGCATGGCCGAGCGCAAAAGATTTTCGGGTCTGACCTGCGGTGCCCGTGCTTCTGTTTCGGCTTGGGGGCTCGGGGGAGAAGCAGCAAGATCGGGGGCTGGAGCCTGTTCGGGCGGATCTTGTTGCGGCGATGGGCTTCTCAGGACCCTCCTTTCTTTGGTTTTCCGCGGTTGTGGCTTCTCTTCCTCTTCGTCCTCTTCAGGGGGTGCTGGCGGAGCAGGTGCAGGTACATGTGGTGGTGGATTTGCTTGTGAAGCGTCGTCCCTCTGCCTCTTGTTGTAGCCGTATTGGGTTCGGAGTTTGTGTTTAGTGGCGTGGTCGAGTGAAACCGCCCGCCCACAGGCATCCTTTGGCGTACTGCCTCGGACGCGGGCCTCCTCGGCAACTTCCAAGCGAATCCGATTGAATGTATCCCTCGAGCAGTTGTGCGAAATGAGCCATTGCTGTAGAAATCCTTCGTCTCGCTCACTTCTGTCGGGCTGTCTGGTAGCGTTTAGCCAAGACAGCATCTTGCCACACGTGCGCAATACAGTAACAATCAGCACGAGCGCAAAAAAACATGAGCTGATCCAAGAAGGCTACGGAAAAACAACACTTTGCTGCACGCGTGCGCCATCGAATGGCATAGCACAAAGAAGAGCAAAAACAACGGCACCGCACAGCACCACACAGGCACGGCACAGGCACGGCACAGGCACCGCACTCCCAAACACCGCACAACACCGCACAACACCGCACAACACCGCACAGCACCGCACAACACCGCACAGCACCGCACAGCACCGCACAGCACCGCACCGCACCGCACAGCACCGCATTCCAAAGCACCGCGCAACACCGCACAACACCGCACAGCACCGCACAACACCGCACAACACCGCACAACACTGCTTTCGTTTGGGTTTTCGTTGGTTTTGGTGGTTTTCGTTGGTTTTTTTTTTTTTGTTTTCGTTGGTTAGGGGGGGTCCCGGGCGTAATGAAAACCATTGCGGTAGCCAGGCCCACTGTAGAATGGCCGGCGTCCTTGCGCCAGCATAGGGCGTGTGAACGGCGCTGCCTGGCTGGCAGGAGCCTTCTGGGAACCCGCCCCTTGGGCTCCCAGCCAGGGCAGGACGCCGGCGCGGGCCGTAGGGTGGCATGAGGGCGGGCAGAAAGTTGGCAGACAGCCGCCAGGCTGTTGCTGGGGAGCGCGCCAGCGCAGCGCCACGGAACCGCCCCAGGAGGCACGCAGGCGCGACTCCTGCTATAGAGCTTTGGGGGGGGGCGCTCCTGTCTGGGAGCACACAAGCGCAGCTCCTTTCAGGGAGCCTGGGGGTGCTGCTCCTGTCAGGGAGCACAGGAAGGAGCGCTGGTGGGCAGCGCTCCTGTCGAGGAACGCACAGGCGCAGCTCCTTTCAGGGAGCATTGGGCGCCGCCCCCTTCGGCGAACTTCTGTTCTGGGGGGCCGCTCCTGTCAGGGAACTTTGAAGCGCCGCTCCTATCAGGGAGCTTTGAGGCGCCGCTCCCGTCAAGGAGTTTTCGGCCGCTGCTCCTGTCAGGGAACACGCGAAAAGGAGCTTTAGGGCGCCGCTCCTGTCGGGGAGAACGCAGGCGCAGCTCCTTTCAGGGAGCGCTAGGCGCCGCTGGCTCCTATCAGGGAGCACGCAGGCGCAGCTCCTTTCAGGGAGCTTCGGACGCGCCGCTCCTATCAGGGAGCCTGCTTTGTTTGTCCCCTGCCAGCGAGTTGTTTTTCGCCGCTGCTCTTATCAGCGAGCATTCCCGATCTGGCTTCAAGGAGCCAGCGCGCGGGAGCAGCAACAGAAGAACTGCGAGACACGATCGGCCCAGCAGACGAGACCCGAGCAGCGCCGGCGAACCGCCATGCGAGACCGCACCAGAGTACACACGAACAGAGCAAGGTGAGCATACTTCCGCCGCTTCGCGCAGAAACCGCCGGCCGCCGACACCGCAGCCCGCTGCGCAGGCATTGAGCGTGCAGGAATTGAGGAGTGGAGGCGAACACACGTGGGGCTGCTCCTCACGGTTTTCCTGCAGCATAAACGAGTTTATGAATCATGAAATGAGAAAACGCGCCATGAAATCTGGGGAGATCTCATGGCCCCCGCCATGATGTCCATCGCCCCCCTCAGTCATCCCCCCCTGCTTTTTGGTCGCCCCCGAACAAAACCGTGGCCTCCGAAGCCACACCTTTTCGTCCATGCCCTGCTGCGCCGGGCGCAGGAGGAGGAGGAGGAGGAGGAGGAGGAGGAGGAGGAGCGAGCGAGCGAGCGAGCGAGCGAGCGAGCGAGCAAAAGCCAAGGGGCAGTTGGATAGAGCAGAGGGAGGGCAGTCACACTCCTCGAGACCCCCCCCCTAGCGCCCGCACGATGGAGCCCGAAGGCCAGGACCACCTTGCAGGCACCAGGGCGGGGAGCGCGGAGCATGCCTACCCCAGCAAGCGGCCGCGCGGGCGGCCAGGGAGCACGGGGCCTGCGGCAGGCCCGTGCTCACCTGCACGAGGCCCGCCACGGCGGGGAAGAGCTCCCACAGGGCTCCCAGCGACACCCGCGGGGAACCCAAGTCCACGTGGTGCAGCACGTGACCCACGTCACAGAGGAGCACGTGGAAACCGAGCGTGTCGCAGAAATGCAACATCGCGCACGAGCCGCACGGCAAACCACGACGAGTTCGCTCAGTGCCTGGGCCTGACCAAACCGAGCCTCGCCCTGGCTGGAAAATCGAGAACGAGTTGGTGGGTCCTGCGAGGGTCAAACACCGCATCCAGCCCACAAACCATCCAGCCACACGCCCTTGAGGGGCATTCACCCGCAGTGGGCTGGCACTCACCATCCTGACTATTGTCGGCCTCCTCGCCGACCCGTCATACCATGTCTGGGTCCACCTCGTCATCGCTATCCGACTCGTGAGGAACACCCAACTCCAATGCTTCAGGGTATAATAAACCATGGTCTTTCAACATCAAGCTAGTATCCAAGAAACGCTGGGGTTATGTTCGGGCTTTACCTTTTGGCCTGAAGTCGATCTCAGGCAGGTCTCCCAGCGGATCCCTGACTTGCACATCAGGGCTCGAACTCTTCCAGAAGGTCTCCGAGCGTCCGGGAGGAGGAGGAAGAGGAGGAGGAGGAGGAGGAGGAGGAGGAGGAGGAGGAGGAGGAGGGAAGAGGAGGGAGGAGGGAGGAAGGAGGAGGAGAGTAGGAGGGAGGAGGGAGGAGGAGGAGGCGGAGGAGGAGGAGGAGGAGGAGGGAGGCGGAGGAGGAGGAGGAGGAGGAGGAGGCGGAGGAGGAGGAGGAGGAGGAGGAGGAGGAGGAACCAGGCGTGCCCCCCGCTGGCAGGGCGGCGCCCTCCTCGCGTCGTCGTCCTCGGCAGGGGCGCCGGGGCCGGCGCCGGAAGGGCCCGGGCCGCCGCCCTGCTTCCAGGCGGTGACCTGGCACGGGCGGCTGCCCTCGCACAGCCCCGCGGGGCGCACGCGGGCATGCTATGAGACAGTCATCGGCCTGACCTAAGGAACGATAAATAATGAACGAAGCCCCTTATATGAATGACCTAGGAAGGAAGGAGTAATAATGAATGAGCTGAGGAATGATAAATAATGAAGGAACAATAACGCAGAAGGAACCATGTATAACAAATAGCGCATGAAGGAATGATGAATGACGCATGCAAGCCTAAGGGACGACCGAGCCCCTTTTGAAAAGGAAGTGCTCCTTGTTCAAGCCGCTCACTGTACGAGGTGCCGCCGTTTAAAGCTAAGCTAAAGCTAAGCTAAAGCTAAGTTACAGCTAAGCTAAAGCTAAGCTAAAGCTAAGCTACAGCTAAGCTAAAGCTAAGCTAAAGCTAAGCTAAAGCTAAGCTAAAGCTAAGCTAAAGCTGACCTAAAGCTGAGCAACAACTAAGCTAAAGCTAAGATACAGCTAAGCTAAAGCTAAGCTAAAGCTAAGCTAAAGCTAAACCACAGCTAAGCTAAAGTTAAGCTAAAGCTAAGCTACAGCTAAGCTAAAGCTAAGCTAAATCTAAGCTAAAGCTAAGCTAAAGCTAAGCTAAAGCTGAGCTAAAGCTGAGCAACAGCTAAGCTAAACGCTAAGCTAAACGCTAAGCGAAACGCTAAACTAAAGCTAAGCTACAGCTAAGCCTGAAGCTAAGCTAAAGCTAAGCTGAAGCTAAGCTAAAGCTAAAGCTAAAGCTAAGCTAAAGCTAAGCTAAAGCTAAGCTACAGCTAAGCTACAGCTAAGCTCAAGCTAAGCTCAAGCTAAACTACATCTAAGCTAAAGCTAAGCTAAACGCTAAGCGAAAAGCTAAGCGAAACGCCAAGCTAAAGCTAAGCTACAGCTAAGCTGAAGCTAAGCTAAAGCTAAGCTAAAGCTAAAGCTAAAGCTCCCAGGGGACTGGGGGGAACCGCTCCCAGGGGACTGGGGGGACCGCCCGGGGCGCTTTCCACTGCCCGGCCCCTTTAAGCTAGAGAGTAAGAACCCTTCTAGGCAGAGCCCAGGTAGGGAAAAATAATAGGATCCCCCACATTTTCGCACATCTTCTGGGTTCTTGTCTTCCCCCCCACTTCCCATATTTTCCTATATTCTCGGGGGAATCGACGATTCATTGTGTCTGTGCTTTTCTCCCTCCCGAAACCCGCTCCGCTCGGGGAGGCGTGGGAAGGCCGGGCATGGGCAGCTGGGGTGGAGGCTACGGACACACTAATACTGTGTGCCTTTGTTGGAAGCGCCCGTCCGACCCGAACATTGAGAGCACACCATCGTG